TTTTGAGAACTGCTGTGTTGGCCTGATTCAATGAGGTTTTTTATTTTTTTCTAAACAATTTGGACCACATCTCGATTTGAAACGGTTTTTCACCTTTGCAGTAACAGATGCAGATCCCAGGGCTCGATCCCTAGACCTTACCACACCCCTGTACAGTATCGAGTCGACCCCTGTGTTTTTGAACCCGTGACCTGTGTTTTAGTAGTTGACTGTAGTCTGTCGAAGGTCTGTGTAGCCGTAGCGGTTCGATCTGTAGGTCTGACGAGTAGGCATCATAGTTGTGTAGAGGCCGTAGCAGTAGCAACTCTGAAAGGTCAAGGTCGTAGCTGCCACAGTCCTGAAAGTTCAAGGTCGTAGCTGCCACAGTCCTGAAAGGTCAAGGTCGTAGCTGCGACAGTCCTGAAAGGCCAAGTCCACAGAGTTCCGGAAGGTCCGGAAGTGGCCTTTCAAGTTTCTTCTCACGTTACCCACAGCAGACCAGAGGCAAGTGGGCAAGTGGTGATTCCAACTTCGCTTACTCAGCAGTACCGAGTGGCAGTCTCACTTTGTACAATCAGCAAGTACCATGAGGGACTGTGTGCACCATGGGCCCGGTGGAAAAGGGCAGACCAGCGACTTACAGAAGTATAAATCAAGAGGCAGCGTCCAGCCATTCATTCATTCCTGCATGAGCCATGCGGAAGCGCTGCCAAGGTGACTTGTGCGAGGTGGTCTGCAGATGCCCAGAGTCGTTGTGGGCTGAAGGAAGAAGATAGCATCCAGTACTAGTGTTAGTAAGCGGCCATAGCCGCCATATCTTAGCAGTTAGTGGTTAGCGAGTAGACAGGTGTGTTCGAGGTGCAGTGTACGTGAGTGTGTGGGATATCCAGGGAGATCCAGAGTTGCGTGCGTGTGAACAGTGAATGGAAACTTTGAGTTGACAAGTGAAGTCAAGGCGAGAAAGGGCCATAGCTATTCTGAATTGAGTTCGTATCTGAGTTGTGTGGGCGCCCAGCGCCAGTGCGGTGTGCCATCTGTTTGCATGCATGTAAAGTGGAAAAGAAGCGAGTCTGATTGCATTGGTGTCAGAGCTGGTTCCCGCTATTCCACGCGCCATAGCAGAAGTGCGCCGAAGAAGAAGAAGAGTCCGCCATAGCTGCGCTGCGGAAGGAGGTGCCGCGTACCTGCAAAGAAGACAACAACGAACAGACACACACACACACACACACACACACACACAGAGACAGAGAGAGACAGAGAGAGACAGAGAGAGAGAGAGAGAGAGAGAGAGAGA